TGTGCTTGGGAGCCGGGCGGGGGGGCGAAGGGCACCATTTGTGGTCAGAGGACGGGGGGTGAATGCAAAAGGGGTGGAGAGAGATCGCCCTCGGTCCAGCCACAGGCATCCCCCTGACCCGAACCTGCCCTCCAGGTCAGCGGGTTTCAGCTCGGTTTTATTCCCGTGGCCACGCGGGCCCCGACAGTGAACTTGGGCCTTTGAGGCGTTCAGCTTGCCCGTCCGTTTCGCAGAGAGCTGGAGAGCTCGGCACACCTGTACAGCAGCACACTCGGCACACCTGTACAGCACCCTTCCGAGCTGGGGGGCCCCGACTGGCTGCCCCTCACGGTTAACGCACTGGGATGATTTTTGCCCTAAAACCAGCTGGCTGCAGCCCACCCCCCTTCGGAGGCAGCCTAGTTCCTCCCGTGTATCTGCGCGGGGGATCTGCGGCACGGACAGGCTGAAGGTGCGGTAACAGGAGACATCTCGGGCCCAAACTGCAGGGAGGCGGTCTGCCGGAGGGCATCGCGCTGACGTACAAGAGCGCAGACAGAGCACAGGGATTTCTCTAGCGGAGGATCCTTTTGGCGTAAGCAGAGAGGGGCTGAGAAATGCTAAAGATGGGAAGCGACTCCACCATAACTGCAGGGGGAAGGAGGCGGGAGAAATTCTTGAGAACTGCTTCATGCAGTAAAAATTATTTCCCGTTTATGTTCCAGCCTGTTTGTCTTGTACCGGTGCAAGGAAAACCTATCTCTGGTAACAAGGAAATCACTTTGCTGCTAAATGCAATGGGAGTTCTCCAAAAACATAATCACAGAGAGGCCCTGAAGCCCTTCGAAAACCATTCCTGGGTACACAGAAGATCGTTTCCCATCCCAGAGGAAGTGCAGCTCCCCCTGCGTGGGCACAAAGCAGCCCAGGATGCTACCACGAAGTGAATGAATTCTTGGAAGGACACTGCAGCCAACTGGAACAGCCCGAGGAAGTCACCCCGCGGTGGCCGAGGGACAGGTGCCACCTCCCGCGCGTCCACGGGGGCACGGAGCTTCCGTCAAGATCTCCGGCGCCGGGACTGGCAGCGGAGGAGATCTCGTGACAAGCGACGAGAACGGCTGTATTTATTCCCATCGCCTGTCTCTCACCCCTAAAGTTCACCCTGCAGCTTCAGACTTCATTTTTTTACGCTCTCTTACAAGTTCTTTCACCACAAAGCAGTGAACTAACCCCAAACTACCCGGAAGATCATCCTTGCATGTAGTTAAGTCATGAAAGGCAATTCTTTTTCACGCTGTCGTCTAGATTTGGGAGGAAAGACATGCTGACATTCAGCATGGAAGGGAAGAGAAACAATTCTGCCCTTACAGCCCTGCTGGTTTCGGCATTACTTACAGTAACCGCGGCTCCCATCAGGCCCTGGACAAGCGCTTCTCCGGTTGACTGTACCTAGGAGACACAAGGAGAACATGACCTTGTGCTTTCTTCTGGAGTCACACGTGTGGCCACCCAAACGCAGAGAGGCAACGCACAACAAACACGTGTTTGCTACAGAAAGGTACTGACAGAAGCCCAGCGCTGCAGACAAATGATAGCCAGAGAGAAGAAACACGGAAGAGATTCCCTGGGAATGTACGTCTCCGAACCATCGGGCCAGTCTGACGGAGAGGGCGCCTGCACGTCATTTTACTGGAAAATATGTAAGCGTTTACTGACGTCGAGCCGACAGCATTTGAGCCATCACCCGCCAGTACACGGTGGTCCCTCAGCAGACGTGTGGTCTGCACGATGGAAAAGCCAGGTCTGTCCGCATACGTATTTGGGGAGGAGGGGGACGCTGCACGTATACCTTGCTGGTAACGTTACCTGGTTAGCTGTATCGCCCATGTTCATGGCATCAGCCACTCTGTTTTCCAGGAAGCGCCAAGTGTCCTCGAAGTCAGGGGATGAATCCTGCATCATCACCAGTTCGGTGGTGTTGTAGATGCCGGTGAGCACAGCCCGGCGAGTGTACCAGTTAAACTGCAGGGGCACGAAAGGGGAGAGAGAGAGAGAGAGAGAGAAAGGTGTGACCTGAATGCAGATCAAGAACGCAGCTCGCGCAAGCAGACCAGAGAACGGCAAAGGAAAATAGCGTACCGACAGCACGTTCCCTCCCCACTTAAACTCTATAACTCGTCTCTGTGATGCAGTGGGCCCCCAGCCAACACCGACATCTGACAGCACAGCTGCTCCCGTGGCACCAGCCAGAGGTCACAAGCGCGGTGTGTGAAACTGCTGAGCAAAATCCCCACCACCTGCTTCTGGTCGCAAGCAGGCACCTGCGGCGGACAGCAAGGAATTCTCCCTTGCCCAGCTAGCCTGCCCGCACGGTGCAAGAGTTCCTCTTTGCTTTACAGACTGCTAGCAGGCAATGCAAAGCTCCGATTCTAGATCTGGTTAGATGAGAAACGGCTACATTTAGTATTGAACTTGAGCTGCAGTTCGCTCCAGATACAAGCACGAAGAAAGGGAACGGAGGACAGAACTGTGCAGGACAGCACACAGAGACACACCTTTCCCAAACCCTATCACTGAAATACCAGTGCTGCCTGCTGAATCACTAAGTGCATCAGTACGCTGCTGGCAGCAGCGCTGTAGGATGCGTTTCAACAGTGGGTTACACAGTGCAAAGGTGCACAAATGACTCAAACTCTTCAGTTTTTCCAGTTGCACTTGCACCACTGGCAGACGAAATATATAAACATTTTTAAAAACGAGTCTCCGACTTCATTTGCTGCTACTGCAGTGACTAAACTATTTGAGTACCTGGAAAAAATATACTGGTTGTTCCATTCACAATTACAAAGCAACAGAGAAATGAAAACACCGGCCTTGACTGTGAAAACAACAGTTGGCTCGAAAGCTCTACTGTCTGCACCACGACCTGCAAACTTGGACCAGGGGAGAAACGAGGGATGTTGCCGCTTGCAGCCGGGTCTCTCAGGTGCCCGAGACCAAACTGTTTCTGTTGATTCTCCTCCTGCTCCGAAAAAAACACCTGCAGGGGCCTCTGAGGCATGGGCGTACTCTACCTAGCTCCTGGTGTTGTGAGGAGGGCTCCGCTGCCAGTGACGTTAAACCCCTCCACTGGGAAGGAGGGAGGGGGCTCAGCATCACAGCTTCCCAAGAAAACTCTTGTAACCGGTCAGAAGGTGCAAACAAAAGACAAACTTCAGAACCTCGCCTACTCTGTGCGTCAGTGAGGAGGCTTTAGGAACAGCTCAGTGCAGACACTGGCTCCGACACGTTGATTTGACTTTCCTAACCCGCAAGGGACTTGCAGTTCCTGATGCAATCGCAGTCTTTCAGTTCTCTTCTGGTTTGTTCCTTTCATTTTTCTGTCATCTCATTTATTTTTCACTGCAGTAGCTTCTCTTTTATACTCAGATAAAAGAAGCTTATTAAAGTAGTTTGTTAAAATGGTTCATTTAGCTTTTCCCACCTCTCCCTACATCTATATGAATTAAAGTAATTTATTAATTGCTTTAATCAAGGTTATAATTTTCTTTTATTTCCTGCCAGAAAGATGAAAGCTTTAATAAGCTACTGGTATTTTTAGGTAGGTTCTTTAAAGGTTTTCAAGTCAAATCTGTAAATGCTACTGCTGGTGGAAGAGACAGCTGCTTCAACAGAGACGCTGCTTGCTCACTGAATACTGGATCAACTTCTTAGTCTCAAAATCTCAACAATTTTGTCTGTGTCTTCAAAAAAAGAAAGAGTACTTAAAAGAGTCTAGGAAAGTAGGTCCTTTTAATTTGCACTAATCCCATTGGCACTAATTTGCATTTAGTCCCATTGGCTCCTAAGTCTCTTCGGAAATTAGACTATCGCTTATAAAGACCCTGGGGTGCTTCTGAAAATGTCGTCCTCATTCAACAAACGGATCATTTCAAGAGAGACGTGGCCCGACGCCTACTTCAACCCGTCATTTTGCTGAAGTGCCGAGGGATAGAAGCAGCCGGTCTGCGAAGCACAAAGACTTACGTCTGTGGACTGGTCTCCAGCATAGTGCCATATATCATCGATCATGCTGGTGAGGAGGTTGAGGCTGGAAGGGATGTTATGTGGGAGCAACAGGATGCTCAGAGCCTGCGAAGGAAACACACAGATAAACGGGAGAGTCGAAGAGAGAAGGACATAGTGTTAAAGCAGGCCAGCGATGCTCTGCTCTGTTATCTTTTCCCTGTGGCTGTTGACTTGGCTCCAGCTCCCAGTGACAAGTCCTCCCAGATCTTTTCAGCTAGCACCGGTCTTTCCAAGCGGCAGGATTTGCGGGGAACGTACAGTGTGGCAGCCGAGCTCAGGCCTCGGGCTGTACTGGAGCCCAAAGCTCTCCGCTCGGCTCAAACGCCACGGTGTTGTCTCTCCCGAGCTGCCTCTCCAGGCACGGACACACAGCACAGGCTGAGCTGACTCACACTTGTGCTGTGCCCCTACAGGCAGGGAGTCAAATCTCCCGTTTCTCTGAATTTGACTTGGAACTCAAAGCAGCTCCGAGGGCAGAACAGCCAGCCATAATGGCCCTACTGGGATCCTGCAGCCTTTGAGCGTAGTAACACAATGCCGGAAGAGTCACAAACCACCCGGATCCTTCACAAGACAAGTTATGCTAATCCGGAACAAAAACATGAATCCTGTCTTCCCTCTCCGCAAGGAGCGCTGGATTCAGCCGCCCAGAGGCCAGCAGTGACTCTGGACAAGAGAGGCTGACTTTGCAGCAACCTTTGCAGCCCAAGGTTGGGAACTCTTTGCTTGTTACTGAGGCCACAATTCAATTCCCTTCTCACCCTGGGAAGAAAGGCCTGAGACTGAACTCTGAATTTTGAAGCACGGAGCCCTCTCAGTTCACAGATCTATCCCCAGGTTGCCAAGGGTTTGTCATTCGCACGCTGGGCAGGCAGTTTCTTGCAACAAAGCAGTAGTTCTGCATTTCCAGGCATCAGATGATACCGGTGCAACCAGAACAATGCTGCAAGGAGCCTGACTTGTCGCAGCGACACTGCGAATAGGACTGAGCAGAGACACAGCTTATCCCCTGGGGATCCCAGATGGGTGGAGTGAACGACGGAGAGGTTTGCCTTTCCGGAACTGCAAGAAATAGTTGTTCTAAGGACACCTTTAACTGCCTTCTTCCAAGGGTGCTCTCTTCTTGAAGGGTATGAATCATCTGAAACCAGCGAGGGTTTCATTTACAACCTTGAACTACTCCGGTGGAGAGACTACGCTGAAGGGCACAGAGCGTTTAAAATATACACAAAAAAAGAGACAATCTTGATATTCATTTTATACCTGGGGCCATTTCTCAATATATGGAATCAGCATCCTCAGTCTGGCTTCCACAGCATCTCTCAGGAATTGATCTGTAGGCTTCTTCCTGAGTGAGGAAAACAAAATGCAAATATGAAGAACATCCAAGTTAAACTCAATTCTGAACTTGAAAGATCGATCTCTTGCCTGCCTCAGCAATAGATACACAAAGTATTAGGTATCCTTCATGCCTCTGGTCCAACTCTGTATCTGGGAAGGTGGTTTTATTTGGGTAAATCACATTTTTTCCTTAAGGTATTTGTGTCCCAGGTGGCCTCTGTCTATCCAGTCCCCAAAGCCCGCCAAGGAAGATGTCTTTTCATACCCGGTACTCACTCTGCTTCGCCCAACTGCACTAATTTTTGTTCCTGCTCCAGCAGCTCTGACAGCTTGGTGTTGCACTGAGACACAAAGTGCAGGATCAGCTCACTGCCATCACTGTGAAACATCCCTGCGGCAGCAACAGAGAGACCCAGGGTCTGTAGGGAAGAAGGGAGAAGCACAGACCGGGTCATACGCTGCTAAGCAGGATCCAGCTAGAAAATACGTTGTATTTATTTTGTGAACGAAGTTACATGAATTTAAACAAAGCAACACTGCATTAAAAGGCTCTTTCTGTATATGTTTTTCTCTCTTTAGGATCACTACTCTACATCATGCCTTAGTTTAACTCTGACAGGGTTGTCCCGGAGTAGCTGGGATGCATTCCTGTCCGGTACCATTTGCTGACTAGGGTGCATGGCCCAAGAGTATGTGGGGGAAGCATGCAGGCCTGGCTGTCTTTGGACTTCAGCTCCATCCAGTTTTCAACTGGTTCTTTGCTTCTCTCCCCACATACCTTGGCTCCCTCTGCAATGGCTTCTGCAGTCCAGCCATGTTCAGGCACAAACTCCAGCGCTGCTGTGAGGATTCGATGCTGCAGCTGCTCCTCGCTCTCATAGTCCTCAGACTCCTGGCCGCCCTGGCCAGTGTAACTATGAGAAGGTATTGTTACAGTGAGGGGAACGTCACCACCAAACATCAGCAACCTGGACTCTGCCACTCACTCGCTGCCACCGCTGCGTGCAGGCACGCTTTGAGATCTGCTTACTTAGTTTAAATCTCGCCTCCTCCTGTAAAATCCTTCCCTGTCCAGAAAAAGGATTCTTAACGAACCTCTGCCATGAGAGGAGAAGAGAAAAATAAGGGAGGGCTCAGTCTAGGTGCCTACCTGGAGACCAATCAGCCTCAGCTTCCCCCTCCTTTAAAAAAAAGCTAAACTATAAGCTTTTCCAATGGGAGCTTTATAGTTATAGGCACGTGGACAACATATTGTCCATATTTTGTGTAGATTTACACAAAAATCCAGAAGCGAAGGCTTGCGCTTTGCAGACCAGAGAGGTTCCCTCTTGAAAGCAAGTCCCATCCTGTCTCCACAGCAGACAGTGGAATTCGCACTGTCAGAGCAAACCAGCTCTCCAGCTGCTGCAGTCTGAGGCTCCATTAACTCTGGATCTCGTCGTCTCCGAGTTTCAGATGCAAGTTTCAGGAAAGCAAAGCCTTCTGATCCCGCTGTCGGCAGGACAGCGCTAGAAATAGCTAGTGAGTTACCTGGGGCGAGGGCCCTGAGGTTCCTGTTCAGGCTGGGGATCAGTCGGATGCGAATCGAACTGCTGCTGAGAGGAAGATGCCAACGGCTCCTTCTTCTGCTCATCGGAGACCCTCCTCAGCACGGCCGAGGCCTGGAGAGGACGCTGCGGTGAGGAGAGCTGGCACCTGACCACTAAAAGGGAAACCAAAAGAGTCGGATGTCTCCTTCCAACGAGAGGAAGCACAGAAAATTGAGGTGAAGAAGAGACTTGTGGTAAACACAGCCGGAAAGAACAGAAATTTGTAGAGACAGTCTTTTTTTTTTTACACTTCCGAGAAGCGCCCCTCTCAGCTGAGCTCACATTTACTTGATGGAAATAAAGTGAAAATGTTTTGCGAGGAAAAGAACCACGCGTACGGCACGCGTTGCAAATAGAAAGGAGTTTCCCACTCTTGCACTGGAGACCAGGTACACAAACCCGCGCTCAGTCCCCTGCAGCACGCCCTCTCTCCTTTTCGGTCCCCGATGAAGGAGAGGAGTTAGAGGGAGGCGCCAACCCCTGAGCTCGGGGCGAGAGGCGAGTAACACTCCCGAGAGCGAGCGGTCCTAACAGATACAACACGCTGCTCACGACGTGTGTTTCTCAGATGACTCAAAGGCAACGCAGCTGCCAATTACGGCTGCCCCGTGAGAACTTTTAATTGGACTGCAG